AGTTTTTATTAACATTTCTGAAGTGGATGGTGACTGGTAACCGGTATCCAAGCCAAGATTGACCTCCAGGAAGATATGATTTTGGCAAGACAGAGATCGATCCACTTTGAACTGTATTTCATCAGGTCTGCGCCACACCGCACACATCGATAGTGACTCGCCAGAAGCTCCGAACGTGTGGTTGGGAAGTCCTTGTGCTTCCACCTTTTAGCCCGGACTTCGCCCCAAGTGAAATCCAGCTGTTCCTGTCTATGGCGAAAGATTTGACAGGTGAAACATTTACTTCAAAAGAAACCTGTAAAAATCGATTGCCGCCCTTGGCAAAAGGGCCAAGTGTTTCTATAAGAGGGTCGCTTTGGCAAAATACATTCAAAATAGCAAAAAGCTATCTGCAACACGGTGCATTTTTGAAAAAAATCCAATAAAATAAATGAAAAAAAAAATAATGCATTACTTTTTACTCGAGCACTTTACTTACATACATACAAGTATTAGCTATTTATATAATATTATCAAAGCTTAAATAAATATCCAGTAAATGCTTTCAATTACTATCTATTTCCCAATTTCCTCTTAGCGAAAGTACTTATTTAAGCGTCAATTTCATTCCAAAGACACAATTGTTTATTTCCTCTTTATCTAAGTATTTCCAGTTACAACAACCAATAAAATACTTATCAACGTAATCAATTCGATTACTTTTGATTTGCGAACGCTGTAAATATCTTGCCAGCTTCGATCTATGACACAATTGTATGCATAAAAATGAAAATAAAATACAAAAATCGCAACTAATTTACAGCAGCTCTGCTATTTATTGTGCAATAAGCCATAAATTATACATTAGCATATATGAAAATATTTATTTACAGGTATGTAGGTATATAAGCATGTATGCAAATTTATTTGTATACGAAAAAACTTTTCAAATAAAACTGAGCCCTTTGAAATTAATATATGCCAACAAATCTTCAAGTACTTGCCTATGCCCCATACGAGTAGGCAAACCCTCTCTAGAAAATTTCCTTTACCCCTTATACAAGGGGAATAAAAAAAAGTTCGGTAAGTTGATTAGTTGAATACAAAACAAAAACCATATTTGTATTTATTCGTCCTCTTTGTATTTTTTTATCCTCTCTACATAGTCGCCATTGATTTCCATGCATTTCTTAAACCTATAGATCCACTTTTGAAAACAGGCTTCAAAATCTTGCTTTTTAAGCTTTTAATGTTTTAAAAATAACCAGAAATTACAAGGATCTTTATCCGAGAAATATGGTGTTGGACGTATTTCTTCGATCCCAGAGATCGCAATAAAATTACACGTTATTTCAGCAGTGCGGTATGGCGCGTAAAAAATAAAAGAGTAGCGCCGCGAAGCCTTTTTTTCCTGTTTTCCAAAAAATTTTTGAAAACTTTCAGCAAGCACTCTTCGGTATACCATTTTCCACTTACCATCTGACTCTTTTCCAGTGGAATACCAGCTACGATTTAAGATCGGGTGAAATAAAGTGACATCATTACTTTTGCTGCTGATTTTTGTTGCGTAGATTTTACGGGTGGGTTTGCTCTTATTGGGCTTCATACCATGGACCGTTGTTTGGTGTCTGGAGCTTAATTATAGAACCAAGATTCGGCACCAGTACCACCTTGTTTCAAATCTATTAAGGAAAAATTGAGAAAAATGCGCTGAGCCTCTTTTTAGTCTACATTTGAAATTCGTTTTACGCATCGAGCAGATTTCTTGTGTATCCCAGTTGATTACTTAATTTTGGCGACGCAGCAATGGCATGCAAGCCCAATTCATTAGCGATCATATCTCGGGTCAATCGTGAGTCTTCGCCAATTTTCCGACTTCACCAGAGCTACAGTGACGTCATCAGTGGAAGATTTTGGTTGACTTTGTCGTCTTCTACGGAAAACAGTCCAGTCAGCAGTTTTCGGAACCACTTAGAAAAAGTCTTTAAAAATGGTGCAATTGGTCATTCAGTGAATATTTGTTTTGGCTGTAAATTCCACCGAAATCCGAAGAGCATCACTTGACGAATTTCTGTTTGCGTTGGTGGTGGAATTTCGTCAGACCTTTTTAGATTTAACAAAATTAAATTGAAAGTCACCAACTGATCGCACTTTTGTTAACTCCCTCGTTGTTGCATCAATAGCAGATTATACATATCTATTTATCAGAAAACGCAACAACAATAATACTGTAATACAAAATTTAAAGAGACTCTGTTTCTATCATTTGCGTAACATTTTCATATGTAAATTTTTATTTGCTTGCTAACTTGCGAGAAAATAAGCTAAGCAGACAGCCAGACAGACAGACATTAAAAAAAAGTAAAAGAAAAGCTACAGACGTATATTATAATGATAATTAGCAAATTTGTATTCGGCCTACAATGATTTCATTATACACTGCGAGAAATATGCTCAAAAATATTATATTTGATTTGTAGTAAACTCGTATGGTGTGGGTGTTATTACATACATATGTATATATATATAAGTAGGTATTCAAATTAGCTATATCTCTGGGTAATAAGAATTAAAAAGTCTTGAATTATTCATTTTACGAACTGAATGTGAATGAGAATTTATTTGTATGTACTACCACATACATATAAGTCTGACTGTAAATTTATAACTGGAATGATCTGGCATGTGCAATTTTTATTGTTTGACAGTGAATTAAATATTATTAATGAATTAAAATGTAAAAAAAGGGAATTAGGAAATAATTATAGGCTTTTACTGAATTCACAGCAAAGCTGCGAATTTTCTTAGGAATTTGGTTTGCTTTCGCCATCACCGTGGCATCAATTCACACTCTTTAGCATCCAGTTATATCCAGTACGAGAGATGTAAGAAGCGGTGCCACCAACATCCAAAAGTTATGAAAAGTTAGTTTAAATAAAAAATTAAGTTAAATTTTCTAATTGCGGTTGCCTCTCGCCAGGGAATGCTCACCCCTCCGAGTGGATTTCGGACATGAAACGAAGGCTCATGTAAAAAAAAGTCATCAGCCCCTCGGAGGGGCTTTAGTATAAACTGTAGGTCCCTCCATTTGTTTTGAAAAACATTAGGACTCTAAAACCACAAATTAGAGGCGGAGCTCGGCTGAAAAATCGCTTCAGCGGTTAAAAAGCACCAATATGTATGTATATACATATATATATAATAATGTCGTTGTTCAAGTTAGCTTAAGTTTATTTCAAACTTTCTACCCGAGCGAAGGCTTTTCTTTGTAAAGGGTGCTGCTTTCAACATGCCGCACCCTTTAAATTTGTCATGATTTAAGCATTTTGTAACTAAATACTAATTTCTTGTATATCCGAAATTTATGAAGAAAAGCTGTCCACTCACAGTTAAAAATATTTTATATACTAAGACTGCATCGCAACGATAAATTTCATGTTAATCGAAAAATTTCTATCGTTTCGGTTGAAAAATTTGCAAATATTAAAATTAAAAGAGTTATCTAAATAATTTTTTTTTTAATTTGTATCGTTATTTTTAGATCGCTAACAAATAATGTCAACAATAACATTGAAGTGTGCTGTTAAGCCATAGCAAGCAGCGATTTTAAAATCACCGTTATCGTTATTTCGTTTTGATAACATGACGCCGAAACGAAACGATTTCATTGAGATAATTCCCGACCACTTTTGCCATATATGTACATATGTATAGGGCGATAGCTCAGCCATAACTTCACCATAGATGACTAGAACCGAAACTTACTCAAATTTACTCACAAATTGCAGCTGAGAGCGTTCCCCCATCTCACATTCTAATGTTGGAAACAGTGTCAGATCGGGGAACATTCACATGTGATGTGAGTAGAACTAAAGAGAGCAACAGACAGTAATGTTTTTTAAGTGCAATGGCCTCTTTTCAAATATTTGATGATTTTTGGAGGCCTAAATTCCATGAATTTGCTTATTTACGTATCCCCGAAGTAAGAAATATTTTTCGTCCCTGAAGAAAAATTTTCTACGCAAAATGAACGTTCATTGCTTGCTAACCAAGCATCCTAATCGCGTTATGCACTGCCAATGTGAGTTGACAGCTGGCTCCAGTTGTTGTGTGAGCATGGACTTTATATAGGCTGAGATGTAAGTTCAAGCGCATAATATCCCATAACGTGCTGTAAGAAAATCTCAGCTCTAGTAGACCTCAGGAAATAGATACATGTCGGCTACAATTTCAACTACAATAGCGATATTTGAGATGGAATGAGTAAAATTATGAGTCAAGTCTTACAATATCTGTAAAAAATCCAGTTCTTTCAAAATTCTTTAAAATTTTGCCATCTGCTTGAGTAGTTGGACGATTCTATGCGCCTGCCTGCCTTTTGGCAGAAATAAAACATTTTTGGTTTGACAGTTCAGTTTGAGAGATGTCAAAATACAGCGCTGTGCTTTTTAAACCAAAAATGTCAAATTTTTCGAAAAACCTTTCGAGTGGGCGGATGACTAGCGAATAAATATTCGCTCAGAATATTTTTTTCTATAGAAAATGGATGTTTTATAAGTGTTCTAGCGCATTTCTGTCGAATTCTCCACATGCTTACTGATGTTTCTTCTGAGCCGTATCGAAAAAGCTGAGATATTTTATTTTATAATATATATTATTTATAAGGGACTTTTATACATTTTATCGTTTTTTTTCAAGTCAGAAATACAATTGGGGCAGTTAACAATCTGTAGCGGAGGGACGATAGATAAAATTAGAATTATTTTCTTTAATTTTGTCCGTTCATCCGAAAGCAGTTCGAACTCATGAGCCTCTGCATTTCGGTACGCACTGCTAGCCACTTGGATAATGTGGACGTTGGTATAAACAATAAAACTTTTTTAAATTATTTTTTGAAATAACAGAAGGTACTTAGGACTTAATGTATGGCGGTTTTAAAGGATTTGACTAGTTTTTTTATATATTAAAATATTGCCTTTTATTAAATTTGCGAATTATATTCGTTTAAATTTTCAATGATATTAAAGTTTGCAGTTAAATGTTTTATTCATTTTTCACAAATTAATTACGTTTATGCCTTCAATTAATCATTCGTTTCGATTGGAATTTTCAATTTCAAATTATATATTCAATTAAGCGATTTAATGAACTGATCGATCCATGGGCGCAATGAAGGAATGTCAGTGAAAACAGCTGGTTTGCCATTATTGCCGCAACCACCCCACGATGTCAAGCCAACCAGTTTATTGCCGGAAACGACAGGACTTCCGAAACGACCAACACAAGATTGACTATTTTCCACCAAGCCACACAACATGGTGTCAAGCACTTCATCATCATCGTAACCATATTTACCAGAGGCACACTCGTCCTGACTTATAAGGCTGACTGGCACATTGACCACGCTGTTGCCTTCACCCCAAGAGTAGACTACACCATTAGCACCGGTCGCTGGTTGTTCTTGGGCCAACTGGATGTAGTCAGCTTTCACCGGTTTGGCTAATTTCAATACGGCTACATTATCCTCCATAGTAACAAAGTCGAATTTTGCATCGAAGCCAGAAGCTGCAATTGGGATTTCTACGTCGCGATTGTTTACAGCGACGACCAGTTGTGAAACATCATAGAAAGCCAGACACTGTGCAGTCGTCACAACAATGTCCTCACTGACTAACGCGCCCACACAGATTACATCGCCGCCGGTTCCTTGTACTGAAACTAAGAAAGAATTGGCTTCAATTGGTGAAGCGTATGCCACGGATGCGAAAAGTAACAACAAATTACAAACAAAAAGCTTAACCATTTTCGAGTCACGAGCGAGTGCCAGTGTGCGTTTGGGAGTATGTGAAATGTTCAACTGTAATCTACTGAAGGCTCCATATCTTTATATATCATTTTAAGGAGACGTTGTTTACTTGTATTCTGCGAACTGTCATTGTTGGCTGCTGACGCAAAAATTTCCGGCTAATAAACGCAATAATTATTGTACATAAACATGTATAAACAATATATAATAGCAAGTGATCGAACATATGTGCTCATTGTAAAGTGCAAAAAATGGCGATTATTTCATGAATATCCATTCGTTTTCAAACGTAAAACTTTTCTATCCTATTCATGTGTCAGTTAGTTATGTATATAAAGGGGCGAACAATTATACCTTCCAAATGGGAGCAACAACTAAATATATTTTTACTTTGTGTCATGAAGCCAAGATGGTTTTGAAACTCTCTGGTTTGAGACAAAAATCAGTAATTAGTTTTAAAATAATCAAGACAATAAAATTTGCTTTTGACACCATTAATTGACTCTAAACTTTGGCACCGTTTCTCTGTTTATCACAAACTGCAACTAATATACATATAATATTAGCTAATTGCATTTTATTAACATATTTAAAGGAGAATCGCGTTATAAAGTGACCAATATAATTGTCGTTACAAGTGTAATCATTTACAGAACGTATTAGACTGAATTTCATTATGAAATAAAAAATATATAAAACAAAGAAATAAAAAACAAAATAAACTGGGTCCCCCTGTGCTCGAATAGTGGCTTAAAATTTCTTAGCATAATTTCAGGCTCAGCTTTTACTGCAACTTCTGTATCCAAATTTAAATAAAATAAAATAAAATAAAATAAAATAAAATAAAATAAAATAAAATAAAATAAAATAAAATAAAATAAAATAAAATAAAATAAAATAAAATAAATCAAAATAAAATAAAATAAAATAAAATAAAATAAAATAAAATAAAATAAAAAAATTTAAATAAAACAAAATAAAATTAAATTTAATTAAATTAAAATAAATTAAATTAAATTAAATTAAATTAAATTAAATTAAATTAAATTAAATTAAATTAAATAAAATTAAATTAAATAAAATAAAATTAAATAAAATATAAAAATAAATAAAAGAAATAAAATTTAATACAAAAAAGTAAAATGAATTTAAATGAAATCAAGTAAATTGGGTTAAAAAAAATGAAATAAAATAAAACAAAGCAAATTAAATGAAGAGCAATTATAAAGCGCTATTAAATAATTATTAAAAGAAATTTGTAAAATCTAACACTTTCGAGTTTCATTTAATGCTTAAGTTTTGTTTTTAATTTATCTGCATCAGGTCTCGCAATTTCCGTCCAGGTAGCATGCGTAAAGTGCGCCGTCGTGCCGTCTTCAAGAATGGTGATTGCAATGTTATGCAAAAGAACTTAATGCGCCGGCATTTACGCTTCATGCAGGATCTCTACACAACGCTGGTCGATTCCCAATGGCGCTGGACGCTACTCGTATTTGCGCTCTCTTTCATATTATCCTGGTTGTTCTTTGCTTTACTCTGGTGGCTCATTATATACACACACGGCGATTTGGAGGAGATGCATTTGCCAGATAATCAAGGTAAGGTTCGCATACATATATATATATAATATATATTAATAAATAATAATTCCCACACACCAGCGGAATCCGGTTGGACGCCTTGCGTGTCAGCCATACACGGCTTCACTTCGTGCTTTCTCTTCTCGATTGAGACACAACACACCATCGGTTACGGTGTACGTACCACTTCGGAAGAATGCCCAGAGGCTATATTTATGATGTGTTTCCAATCGATATTTGGTGTTATGACCTCCGCCTTTATGGGCGGCATTGTTTTTGCCAAAATGACACGGGCCAAACAGCGCGCTCAAACATTACTCTTCTCGAAATATGCCGTCATCTGTCAACGTGATGGTGGCCTGTCCTTGATGTTTCGTGTTGGTGATATGCGCAAATCACATATCATTGGCGCTGCCGTACGCGCCCAACTAATACGTACACGTACGACCAAAGAGGGTGAGGTGATGTCGCAACATTTTACGGAACTGGAAATTGGCGCCGATGAATGTGGCTCGGACTTATTCTTCATTTGGCCAATGATTATCGAACATAAGATTGATGAGAATTCACCATTTTACAATATGTCTGCTACCGATATACTGCAGGATAAATTCGAATTGGTTGTCATATTGGAGGGTACCGTCGAGTCGACTGGCCAATCAACGCAGGCGCGTTCTAGTTATCTGAATACGGAGATTTTGTGGGGTCATCGTTTTGATCCGGTCGTTTTGTACAATAAAGATCTGCAAGCGTACGAGATCGATTATGCACGTTTCAATGAGACAACACAGGTGGATACACCATTGTGCAGTGCACGGGAGATGAATGAGATTTACAAGATTCAGGAGGGATTTAGGACGCCGGGTGAGTAATAAGAGAGATAATTGAGAGGGTAAAATTAAATGGTATTAATCGAATAGAAAGTTTATTAAAAACTAATAAATCAATTTTAAGGACATTAAAAAAGGTTTGGTAGGTGTTGATCACCTTACACCGTTAAGTGATTGAGTTCATTCAAAAAAGCACATGATGTTTTGATCCAAGGCCTTAATCGAAGCGGGACTGTCTGCATAGTCTTTAAACTTTACCTACTCCCACAGGAGAAAGTCTAAGCGTGTGAAATCACACGATCTTGTTGGCCGATCGCCTGGCCCAAAAAGTGAAATTATCTACTCACCGAAGTGTTCTCCTAATGAATGATGTGAAGTGCGGAAGCTGGCTCCGTAAGGTTAAAACCAAATGTCCTCGAGATCAAGATCTGCAATTTTAGGCATAACATAGATGTTGTTGTTGTTGTAACCGCAAAATTATTCCCCGAAGTTGATTTTGGGAAATGTGGCTTGTTTGCTGCAAACGGCGCCGAATCAACTCTCTACAGTCTTTGTGTGCACTCTCAGCTACAATCTCTCTATTTTCTTGACTGAGTGTTGGACGTTGTCTGTTCGATGGAATATTATCCATAAATGGACGTGGATCTCAATATGGGTGATGATGTTGTAAAAAGCACGCTCAGTAGGCCGATTATTTTGAACAGAACGTAAATTTTCATAACAAAGTTGATTGATTTGTAAACGTTGTTCAAACGTAAGTCTTTTTATGACATGACAAACAAAATTTTGAACACAAATTACATAACAGCAAATCAAGTGTGTTAAAAAAAGGCTTTGAAAAAAGTACCTCTACTTGGAACATCCGTTGTAAGGGATATGACAGGTTCCTCTTTATGTGAATTGATTGTGGTCTTCAGTACAACCAAGGAAGTGGGAATTCAAGTACACATTTTGCCACATGATGTCAACTTCCTTTCAGACAAAGTTTGCAATAGCAGAGTCCTTGAAAAGGATGTACCTCATCATTTTTATTTCAATGTTTCCTTCCATTCATATCCTAGCATAGTGCTTTCCACTATTCTCTTTGTGCCTTCGTGACTGCTTTGTTGAATGATTTTATGTGGCTTTTGTAAAGCTGTTCGAAAGCTTTTGAATTCGTTTGGGGGAAAAACTCGCTCTTTTGGGGAATATGTAGGGCCAATGACAACTCAAACTGTTTGATGAAATGGTCTACCGCTTTGTCAATCTTCGATGATGGGTCGATCTAACAGAGGGAAACAGACCGTATGATAGAAGAGATGGTAGATATTGTTTCATTCAGCTAGAGCCTGACGTACGTTTCGTGTTTTGTATTACCGTCAATCATCTTCAGTTTGCTCTATAATTTAACCATGAATCGTCTTATAAACGAACAACAGAGATGGTGCCACATGCCACATGCCACACAGCACGCGTAACAACGGACTTATTGAGAGGCGAGTTCGGTGAATATTTTATTTTACGTTCGGGACCGGTCAATTGGCCGCCTAGATCGTGCTATTTAACGCCTTTAGACTATTTTTTTTTTGGGACTATGTTAAATCTTATGTCTATACAGACAAGTTCACTTCAATTGACGCATTGGAGAAGAACATCGGAGAATTTATTCGTGAGATACCGGCCGGAATGTTGGAAAGAGTATGCCGAAATGTGGCGGATGGACCAATTGAGGCACAGTCATGGTTAACATTTGCATAAAATAATCTTCAAACATTAAATTATATGGACCGTACTAAGGATTTTATGCGTTTTTCTGAATTTTTTGTTTCAACTTTCCCATAGATCTTAAAAAATCACCCATTTTATATATATAATTGGCGCTTTGCAACCGCTGAAGCGATTTTTCGGCTGAGCTCCTCCTCCAATTTGTGGTTTTTTATTTTGATGTTTTTCCAAGAAAAGGAGGGACCTACAGCATACCAAGCCGCCACCGAACGGCTGATAGTTTTTTTATGAGGAGCTTTATTTCATGTAGGAAATATACACGGAGGGGTTGATATTTTTTTTGCCGAGGGGCGATCGCAAAGAGAAAATTTCATTGACTTAAATTTATGGGAAAATAGTCCAGATTTGGTTTGATAAGACTTTGTTTCTGGAGGTGGATATAATTCACATCGGTAGTAGTTCTTTTCTTAAGTAAAGGAAAATATGCGCTGGAAGCGAACATTTCATTGTTGTATTGCCTATATTATACTTCAGCAAATATCACTTTATTACAGTACATATATATAATATTGTAGTTATATATATTATAGTATAGTATAAATATATTTGTATAATTAATTAAAAATATTCTAATTTGAGGTGAAGGCGTAAAAAACATCAATAAAAATTTTATATGTTGTAGCTAGGAAAAAATAGATTTATTTGGAATATATATGTAACCACCATATTTATATACATTTAATATTTGAAATAAAAATCACAACATGCACTAATGTCCTTTATAATTATTTTCCCCTCACCAACAGAAACCACATTCACAGCTCGACAATTGTCCGTCAACCACTCCGAAAACTGATAATTGCAGCAAACATGAATATATATACCTATATGTACTATGTAAATCTCCGCACTTCATAAAGCCATACGTATATGTATCAATAGTACTATGTAACATAAGAAATTTTTGAAAATATGTCCTTCACACTCCTAGTTGTTGTCTAATTACACATGTAATTTTGTATATTCAATATATTTGTTAAAATAACAACATCCACATATATGTATCTATGTAAGTATTTATATTTACTGCGAAAAAAAGTTATATGAATAAAATTGTTGTTTAGTATTGACGAAATAGAAATTTGCATTAATCACATATCTTTACACGCACATTCATTTCAACATCTACAATCCTGTACATTTCCATGCTCAAATTCTCCTGTTTTGTGCTATCGCCATCCAAATACTGTAAGTGCTTAGAAAGAATAAACGGAGGAATTAAATTTTATCGTTTTATTTTTTTTTTAATTTACATCACTTACATGAATTCCCTTTTGTTAATTACAGTTATTCGTAATCGCCTGCTACGTTGCGCCTCTTATGAGCCGCAGTCTAATCGTTTGAGTACGCTCTCTGCAGATAAGACAAATATTAAACAATTATCCTTGACTTTACCGAGAAGAGCAAAAACCACAGCAAAGACTTGTGCCAAAGCAGCTGCTGTACCGTTATCAACACTGACGTCACCAGCAAGTGAACGCAGCTCTGGGTTCTCTTCAATTGGTTCGGCGGAGGAGCGTTCACCACGCCACACAGCGTTATTTGAGGGGTTCGAGAGTGTACGAAAATCTATGTTGAAGTAGAAAATTTAATTAATTAAAAATATGCCGAATACAAATTTAAAGTGATTAATTTAACATATATGTTTTGATAGGAATTACTTTTGCAATTTATTCATGGTTAATGCTGCAGCCGAGCGAGCGATTCGTGGCTACGGGTATTGATCAAATTGAAGTTTTAAAAAATATATACAAATTTTTAATTTTATTATTATAATTTCAAATGCGTGCCTCTCTAGATTTCCAAAGAAAACTTCGCTAAAAAGTTCCACTTAATTCTAGGTATAAATAGACTTTTTTCGGAAAGGAAATTTGGCAAAAAATCATTAAGGAACTTGGATCAATACTGTAAGCGTTTTTCATGGACACAATGTATTTAAATTACCGTTATGAGCAATTACATTCATACTAACAAACCTCGAATTATGTGGAAATATTATATGTATTTAAACTTAGACTCCGGAAAAATATTTCGAGGGTGTTCTTAGCAAGCTTTTTTATTGGGCAATATGAAATATTAAATATTTTTCTTAATAAATACGTAGATACGAGGGTTGGCTTTTATATTTCGGGACTTGGTAAACTTAGCGTTTCAACAGGCAACTGATAACTTTATCATAAAGTTTGACGTTCTGCATGATATTAATTCATATATATAATATTTAAAGTAACTTAAAATACTAATTTCCCCCTTACATCTTTCGACGTGAATCAGGGTCAGCAATGTGCAATAGTGCATCGACGAACTCAACTCATTTTATTTTGTCTTTTAATCGATGGTATGATGAATTCAGAGACGAGGTCGATGATTATTTCCTGTACAGGAAAATGATATTGCAAGATCGTCATGTGACGTAACGTGAGATTGAGACAACTGTAGGTTTAAATGGGATCAGCATACTCGTACACTCAATAATTATGAATATTTGGCTGTCAAAAAATTTATAGTTGTTCAAAAAAAAAAAAAAAAAAAAAAAAAAAAAAAAAAACGCGCGTGTCGATTTATCGATGGAAATGTGAAAAAAAAAATCAAAATAAAATAATATCTGATAGTGGTGTTTCGACAGAGGCCCATGCCATCGTGACAAGTATGAGCACGAAAGTAAACGGTAGTGGCTTACATTAAGACCAGAAAGTTTTCGCTCCACCAGAATAGACGATCGATAAAGTATATTATTTGAGCGTTTTGAGGCGTTTGCTCGAAAACATCTGTCGTAAAAGTCCGACGGAATTGTGGACCAACATTTTCAGGAAAGTTTCATGAGTAAGTAATTGTGAACGATTTTGACACCAAAAACTCGTTCATACCATCGATCAACCATCATATTCACCGGATTTGTTCCCATGGAACTTTTTCCACTTCCACTTCGACTCCATTGAGATTGTAGTATAAAAATCGCAGAGGGAACTTAGATTGACTGATTTCAACTGCTGCTTCAAACAAACTGGTTGACAGATCGCGCTGATATTTAACATAGTAATTAAGGACAGTGCTACCAACTTAAAGAAAAATATTCAGCACGGGCAGTTTAATTGACAATTTCCGGAAACTTTCTGGTTATAATTTATAGGTGTTCAGATGTGATTCGAAACCAACAAGCGCACAAAGCACATCAAAGCAAATGGTTCCGTGTTTCTTTTTCTTTGAAAAAAAAAAAAAAAAAATGAACTTGTCGCAGCCGTCCCACCAGACCAACGCTAAACAATGAATTCTGAGTACTACACAGTAATTTGTTCGTTGATTTTCTTTCAAGGTATCAGGATTAGATCGAAGATGGATCATTCTTGACCATGACAATGGAAGTTCTCATACGTCGACTGAAACAAGTGCATTTTTGAGTACTCAAAATATAGACTTCATCCAGTGATCCATTCTGTAGTTTGTAGTCCTGATTTGACTACCGAGGTCTCTGATTCGACGAACAGTGTAAATGTTACCATATATCTCATACAGCTCATCTTTGCATCAGCTGCGGTAGTCGATGTACCGAAAGAACCTTTCATCTAACGCAAATCTTTTCTCGAGAAAATCCCTAATGTCATCTTATCAGATGTGGTAATCGTCTATGCCTTCTTACTATTTAGAAGGACGGTAAAGATGAGAGTTTAGTCCTCGCTCATCGAGAGAGGACTTCTGTTTAATTTGCACTTGTTGGCAAGAGTGATTCTGCACTGGATTTCAAGGCTGACGTTTTTATTGGTGTTAATGCTGGTTCCTAGATACACGAAATTATCTACGACTTCGATGTTATGAGTGTCAACAGTGACGTGGCAGCTGAGTCGCAAATGCGGTGACTGTTTGTGTGATGACAGGAGATATTTCGTCCTGGTCTTGCTCTCTGCCAGATCCATATATTCGATATATCCAGTGTGGAGGAAGAAGAACTCACTGCGCGGTTGTTGAGGCCAAAAAATGTTTATATACTCGTATGATCGGCGTACGCCAGCAGCTGTACCTTCTTATTGAAGATTGTACCTTCTCTTCAGCTATGCAGATCGTACTATTTCCAGCATCAAATTAAAGAAGTCACACGTTAAAGAATCACCTCCTCAGAAAACTCGTTTGGTATCGAATCGGTCGGAGACGTATTTCCTAGTTGTGCAAAGAAGCCAATGCACGCTCCTTGTTTGTTCAGCTTCTATGCACAAATGGGAAGGAAATCTCCAACCAATGAATGTCGCATAAGATCTTAAATTTTTTGATCAATCTTTTAGTATTGGTACAGTAGACCAACTCGTTCTTTTGCGCAAAGTAGGCAGTGAAATGCTTCTCACGAAGGGCACGCCTAGTGGAAGTATGTTCCTGTAATTCAGCAGCGTCTTTAGGAAGAGTAAAATCCCTTACTAAACTATTTACCTAGCTCGTCCTGGGAAAGCAGTTTAGCTCTGCTACCATATTTAAATTCAAAACATGACTTTTTATGGGGTTCAAGTACAGAGCCATAATAAATGAAACAATCATCGCTGTGATTCTGTTCCATCGGATTTCGAATGAGATGTTAAAACTTTTTTTATATTCCGAAGTAAGTCATTGATATCGATGATATCGACGTCAATAGCGTCAACCTTCGTGGCGTTAATTCCGCTGTCTTCAGACTGGATAAGGAAACGAAACAAACCAGACAATTAATGCATTCGCTTCGTGGTTTATTTGCTGAGGGTCATAACTTTGAAAAGGTAATTTCATCTATCTAAAAATCTGTATCAACAGCAACTAAAAACAATACTCTTGTCAAACAGATGTTCCTTTGGACTAAGTAGTTGGAAAGTAAGGTCCTCTCTCGACGATTAAAGATCAAACTGCAAAAGTCTTTCATAATCCCTGTCCTGCTGTGTGAGGCAAAAACGTGGCCAATTCCGACTTACGATGTGCCTGGTCTTGAGAGCTTTTGATGGAAAGGTTTTGCGGGTATTCTTTGTACATTGGGAACTGTGAATATAAGCGATCAGCTAAACAAGATATTCGGAGACATGGACATATGAGTATATAGACTAGCGAATTAAGAGCAACTCTGGTTGGGAGATCAGCTGAAGAAAGATTTGTCTTCACTTGGTATATCCAGTTGGCGCCGATGGACGAAAAAAAAGCGAACGGACAGAGATTTCCTTTTGTAAGCAGAATGCTGTTCTATGTCGATCCAGCAGTTCTCAAAAAGCAGTGAAGTAATAAATAATCAAATGAATAAATAAAAGAAAAATCAGAATAATAAAATTTCAAAACAAAAGTACATCAATTCCGCTTTCAGTGCAAGTTAAATATTTACATTTCATAGTTCTGTGCGCGTTTTTAATTTTTCTATTTGTTCTTTGCGTCCTTCACCCACAAATCGCCATCCCGCGGCTCAAGTGTCTGTTACACCCAACTCGACAGCATACTTTGTATGTAAGTTCGTTGCATAACGGAATTTTCAGCAGCTGCCTTTTGCTCATTGTAACCGAGTATTGGACAAGACACTGCCATTGTAAGCTATTGCCATTTGTAAAAATTTATATATGTGCAAATGGGTGCGGTCACAGTGGCTAAAAGGTTAGCAGTTCATATTACCCTGGGTAGGATCACGTGTTCGAAGCCTAAAGCTAATTTTAACCCCTTCTCATAAAAACCTATCATCACTTCGGAGGTAGCTTAGAAAAAATTTTACATCTATTTCTTAAAGAAGGAGTTCGGCCGAAAATCGCTTCAGCGGTTGTAAAGCACCAAGTGTGGTGCAAATGAATTTGTATCTCTTGTTGGACATTCTGTGCTTGTGGCATGTTCTGCGCGTGCTCAAATGCGTTTGCATACTCGTAAATTACAACAATATAAAGACATTAAGAATAAATCAAGTGACAAAGTATTTATATGTATATAAATAACGTGTGGTATGTATACGGTAGTTGTTGTTAAAATTGTCATTAAAACTGTTTTGGCTGCCTAATTTAATTATTGGCTTTATAATTTAAGTGCACTTGGAGTCTATTATTGGCAACACTGGCTTAAGTGTTTGTTATTTAATTAAAAACAAAATTTTTTTTCTGATGCACACACACACACAGAGACACATACACACACACACGAACATATCCTCTATAATGTGATGAGACATAGTTGAGAACAATGTAAAGAAGTGCTACTTCGGGCTGAGCATGTGGACGATAATAACTTCTGCTGATCCGGTATTGGGAGTTGTAAGATTTTTCGAAACATTTTTGGTTCTCTGGGTAACGTAGATGGTGGAGAAATAAGCTGTAAGAGATATATGACAATTATGACGTTCAGTGAATTAATACCCAACTAGGCAAGTCGTGTATCGAATGTACGAAAACATACCAATGTCGCTGGTTGGAGAAGGGAATAACAAGAGACATACTTCCGTTAATTTAACATTTTCCATATGTAAGTACGACAGAAAAAGAAAACAAGAGAGAGAGAGAGGGAGAGGAGAAAGAGGGAGAGAAAGAGCGAGGGAGAAGAAGAGAGAGAAAGAGATAGAGAGAGCAGAGAGAAAAAGAGAGAGAAAAATAAAGAGAGAGGAGAGAGAGAGAGAGCGAAAGAGACAGGGCGAAAGAGAGAGAGCGAAAGAGAGAGACAGAAAGATATAGAGATAATGAGAGAGTGAGAAAGAAAAAGTGTTAAAGAGAGAGAGTGAAGGAGAAAGAAAGAGAGAGGGAGAAAGAAAAAGAGATGGAGAAAGAAATAGTAAGGGAGACAAAGGGAGAGTGATAGAG